GTTTCCCTTCAGAACTCCATTTTACCTGGTCTGTTAGAAATCGCAGCTATGTCCAGGTGGGGCATCCGGCCCCTGGGCATTTGGCTGTCTGTGGGCATCTGGCCTGCCCCTGGCCCTGCGGTAGGGGAGACGTCCCTCACCCAGGCTCCCAGGACGTCTCCCCTGACTTGGTGTGCTTGGGACGCTGGGTGCTCCTTTCAGTGGGATTAGTTGGGAGGGTGACACAGACATGGGGAACCAGCCCTCAAAAGCAGAGGCTCGGACCCCGCTGCAGTGTCTCATTTCTAATTTGACTACTCTATACTTGTCCTGGGAAGTTCACAAATAGAAGCTAGTCTTTCTTTGCTCTGAGGCCAAGCCTCAGTATTCCTTAGACAATCTCGCTGGCCCCCTGAGGGAACTTTCAATTTTAGCCTCCTCACCACCTTGATTAATTATTGCCACTGGAGCGGATAGTAGAGTGAAATCCCGTATATGCAGGCTTTTTGGACTTTGCACTCCCACCCAGACCTTTATGTTAAGTGTTCAATGACTCAGGTTCTCCTGGCCCGATCTCCAATTAAAGATGGTCAGCCTCTTACTCTGCCCAGTCCTTCTTCCTTTCCAGATCCGCCAGAAGACCTCAGTCACCCACCTCCCTCAGCTTGCTATCCCCTCCCCCTCTCCCCACCATCATCTTCAAGTCCTTTGTCTTCACACATGTCACCACCATCTTAAAGTCCTACATTCTCAACCATGTTGTTGTCCTGCTCTCCTCTTCCAGTGGCTGCACCACCCCTCCCCCTCTCCTTCTGCCTTCACCACCCTCTTCTCCCCCAGAACACGCTCCTCCCACCCTCTGGTTCCAGAAGCCACAGACAAGAAGTTAAAGAGGAGGAAGGCAATTGGATATCAGTGACTCAAGTCTTTATATTGGTTTGTCTGTCTGTGTATATGTTTTTGTGTAAGAAGTGTTGCTGACTAGTCGTCGTGTCTCAGTGTGTATGTTTGTGTGTCTAGGTGTGTAGATGAAAAATATTTTCCTACCTCCAGATGGTATTAATAAAAATTGATTTAAAAAACAAGTGCTTGTGAAAATTGGGCATTCTAAAACTTCCAGAAAATCTGATAAAAAATGTTAAGCATTAATGCTAATTTGGGTTTAGCTGAGGCGGGCATGTCCTTGTGGTTATCAGCTGCCTAAGTTTACCTAAGGTCATTTAAGTTAATGTTATCTGCTAAATCTTTTAAGAATAAAATGCTTAAAGGCTTAGCTTTGTCTGATATTCAGTAGAGGTCTTGTAGGTAATCTAGCATAGTTGTTATGAATGAATGAACTAAATAAGCATGGCAAGTGAAAACCTTTTTAATTGTGTGTTACAGGGTGTATACCTACCTACAGCCTGATAATCTTTGTGGTAACCTAAAACCTTAAAGTTTTGCTAAGTTAAGAGGGTATACTTTATGTTTAGCGAGAGATTGTGCTATAAAACTCATAGTTACAGAAATTATGAAATGTTCATAAATTTGTCAATCTAAAGAATGCTAGTGTAACAGTTTACAATAGCCTGCTTCTCAGTGTTCACTAAAAATTAAGGTAGCTAATGGTTTTAAGTTCTAATTAAAACTACTTAAAGTAATAAGGAAAACATTTCTGCATGCTAAAGAATGTGTCTTTTAATAAAAGAAAGTAACTTTATTCTAAAGTACAGCTGTTTAGAAAGAGAAATCTAAATGTAAAAAGGTTGTAGAAAGTTTGTGGAAGAATTTAATATGGTCATGCTATATAAAATTAAAGCAAATGAGTCTCGGTATCAAGTACACAGCAAAATTAGAATTTTGTTTTCAGTTAAAAAGACAAAGTTTTCTTAACTGTTAGTCTGCTCTTAATATTGAAAGATTGCAAAAAGTTCTCTAATTGTTTTATCAAAGCAGTTTCTCATGCTTAAGTCTCAATGAGTCGTCTGATTATTTAAGAAAATGAGATCTTAATATTAAAAAGACTAAAAGCTAAGCTTTGTTAACAACTGTGTAACCTTCTGTATCTGCCTTTAAAATCTTTTATTGTCATTCGGGTTAAATAGATAAGTATTGTTTCATAGTGACTTCTGATTCTATTTAGACAAGTGCCTTAAAAACTTTTAACAACTTCCCAAAATCAAATTCAAAAAGGTACTTTTACCTCTAGTTAACTGATATTTTCCAGAGGGCCCCTAGAACATGTCAGAAGAACTTTTTGTCATTGGAGAAAGTATTTAGCTAATTTAGCTTATTTATCTGATATATTTACCTGAAAAGCACTGTCGAAAAGAATGATGCTAAACTTTGTTACTAAATGTTTTGTGTTACAAATATACCAGAATTTCCTTATGTCAACTGTCTTACAGTAAGTTCTCATCAAATTTTTAACCATTGTCATTCGTAAGTCTTTTATTATTTATAGTCACTGTTTTATTACTCTTAAGCTAGTAAAGAACTAGATTTCAGCAGAACAGGTATTAATTACATAAGATTAAGTAAACTAAAGAAGATGACTTTGTGGCTTTTTGTTTAAAATGTTGATAAAGTGTTTTAAGCTTTTTCTCTTAAGCTGACAACAGTTTAGTGAATGACTGCCTTTATAAGCAGAATTGAAACTTCTTTCTCCCTACCTGATCCTTCCAGAATTTAAAAACCCTTAGTGACTATTTTTATATTTCATGGCAATATGTTTATTTGCATAAGTTCAATAAGAACCTGCTTTCCTTGAAAAGAAGACCAATTAAAAATACAAGTTATACCATCAAGGCTTTGACTGGAATGTCATACCTGAGAGACACGTGTATAAACTCAGATATGAACAGCTTTAAGGAGCTAAGGTTGACTTCATAAAGCCAACAAAGCCCCTTGGAAGAACTGGCCTGGTACCTTGCTTACAGAGTTCCCAGCAGCCTTACCAGGTGAGTAAAGAAAGTCACTTCTTGGCAGATGCAGGAACCTCAAGAATGTCTTGTGAACCTCAAGAAGAGAGAAATTCACCCAAATGTACAGGTACTGCAGGCAAAACCTGATGGCAAGTCTGGCTTGGCTGTCTGGCCTCAAGAGGCCTTTAAAAGTTCAGTCTGAAATTCCTTACAAAAAATTCCAGCAAAGCATATTTAATAGAGCCTATGTAATCAATTGCTCTTCTTGCTGCACTTATGCAAATAATCAAGCCACTGTTAATTATTTTCTTAATCTAGCTACTTCTAATAAAAATGAGGGTGACTTTAGAGAAAAGTATTGTTTCAATAATGCAGTCTTATCTATACTAAGTCCCAAAACTAGTCATTGAGATGTAAACTTGATCCAGAATTCCAGTCCCCCATAATGGCCTGGCTAATGCCACTACTGGGCCCCTTAATTACAGTTTGTGGTTTATTCTTAGTTGCCCCTTGTGTCCTCAGGTTCCTCCAACAGCAGCTAACCCAGATGACCCGGGTCACCACCAACCAGATGTTACTTCACTGTTATACACCTCTTCCCACTGAACCCCGTCCTTTGGCCTAATACCAGCCTCAAACCCCCACAACGCTCCTTGTCAGCCGGAAGTAGCCAGATTGAGTCATTGCCCATTACAACCAAAAGGCTGGAATTTTAGGCTGGAGTAAGGAAAAACAAGGACATGCAAACAGAACAGAGAGATACCATAAAAAGAGAACAGACCAGACCCCAAGGTCTATGCCTTATATGGAAAGGGGACAGTTCTTCCTGAATTCCATCCTTCTGATGTGCCAACTAAGACACAGATGTCAGCCTCCTCCCTCTTGGAAGGAATAAAGTTTCTAGTTGTCTATTATGTCACCTTTAGCCAACCATACCTCTCCAAGCCCCCTAGGATAGCTTGCCCACTCCTTCCCCTCCTAACCCCTTATAAGCCCCCATCTCCATGACTGGGTGTGAATTCCCCAGCCTGTAGTACCCAGACCACAGAACATCACCCGGGAGTGGCATTCAAATAAACTACCTGGCCCTTTGTTGCCTCTCTTCACCTGCTTATTTCGGCTAAAATTTATCTTACACCTACCTCTATACTGTTTTACATAAGAAAAAAATAAAGCTCTATCTTTATTTAATCCAGTTATTTCAGGTTTCTTATTAGCTGAACACAATTTGTAATTGATAAACTATACTTCATCCTAAAGCTCTGAAGATTTCAATAATACTACAAATGTTCTTTAAAAATAATGAAACATGTTTAGCTTTATGTACTTATCTTTCAAAGAATACAATATGTGTTTTTTATTCTGAGCTAATTGCCATGTTTCAATTTCAATCCTGAAAAGAATATCTGGTCCATAGACAGGAAGCAGGGAATGCTAATAACTTCACTTGGCATCACTGGACCTGAAACTCCACAAGTAAGACAAGAAATAACCTTTGGATGAAGTTATGACTCAAGAATAATGAAGAAATCTGATGGTTCCTTTGAGCCCATGTAAAATTTAGTCTACACAAGAGATGACAATTTAATGTCTCCTGTCATACACTACCATAAGAGTTTGAGTGTCCATTACTGCATCAGAGAAAACAGAGTTCTCTCAATTTGCTTTTATATTTGTGCCTATGTCATCCAAGAAATAATTAACTATGAAAACTGAAACCACCTACTTCCAGTTTATAGTCTGCATTATCATGACTTACTTTCCACTGCCTTCATTATATAATTTTACTACTCCAGGAGTCTCTCACCCAGGCAAATAAGATTATTGTTCATTACAGGAACTTCCATGACAGATCATCAACTGTTTTGTAGAAAGCATCAACAGTTTTCCTACCAACACTCTTTGGTTTGGACTCTTGTCCTCATATTGCTTGCCTTGCTGTTGCTGCCAGTTCCAGATTACTATTAAATCACAATTCCTACCTAATCCCTCATTGATAGACCTGCCTTAAACCAAACTTCAAAATCTCAATAAAATCTTCCCCCTTTCAGACACTAACAAAGCTCTCCTAAAATGGTAATTCTCCCACATAAAGTTGAGCAAGAAACTCAGTTTTACCTTGTTGGTGATATTTGAGAACCAGCATTTGATTCATGCAGAAGATCTGTGAGGGCCACGCCTGTGAAGGAAGCTGGGGAGAGACCCGGAGGAAGCTGAAAGCCGTCACTCTGCACAAGTCTGAGGCAGGACGTAGAGAAGAGGGAAGGGAGGAAGAAGACGATGCCTTAGATGGCACGCAGCTGTCAGTTTAGTAAGGTCATGCCTCAGAGTGGTCCCACACCTCGCAGCATGGGGCCAGCTTCAGTGGCCCTGGCCCACTCAGCTGTATGCTGGGAGAATTCCGAGGGCAGTCAGGCCAGGGTGGTGGGGGCAGAACACTCACAGGAAGGGATCTAAGAGACACACATTCCTGGCTCGGGATACCTGATGACCCTGTGAAAGATACCTGAAAAAATGATAACTTCTCAGAAAAAGGACATAATGACTGAAAAAAACTCCAAAGAAGTCTAATAGATTTTTGAATGAAAATTGAATCAAAGCAACTGCGATTTTTCTGCATTTTTAAATATGCTAAAGACAATGTCATTTCGATTATTCAAAACTGAATAATCTATAGTGATGGAATTAGAGTCCTAACAACTTTGTTTTGTTTTGTTTGACTTGTTAAAAAACATAATCCAGCTGACTTAATCTGAAGATCTGGAGGGTGGGCAAACAGATAATTAGCAAAAGATAAGATGGGATTGTTTCAGGCAAGTTCACCCTCTCTCAGCCCAAGAGCAGGGGGGTGTTACCATGCAGATTACCTCAACTCCTTTCAGTGGAGGAGAGGATTTTTGTGACAGTGTCTTGCCAATGGGTTTCAGCCCTGGGCAAGTTCACTATAGATTCAATGTAACCAAAGAAATGACAGTATAACGTTCTTGGGGTGAAAAGGTTATACCCAAATTTATCTCCACGGTGGCAAGTCAATCACTAGAATCCCATCCACTCAGAGTGAGTCTGCACGCAGCAAGCTGGTCTCTGCCTCTGGGCCTCTCTGCCCCTGCAGCTGTCTCAGTCTCAGTCCTTGGAGGTGCCACCACTCCAGCCTCTGCTCTGCTCTCCTGAAGCCTTGCAGTGGTGTCACCATGTCGCCCAGAGCACTGGGCAGGGCTCTTTATATAGAGTCAATAATGACAAATTGCCCACACATGTGTAGTGAGCTAGCCAACCAGGGCCAGGTGAGAATCCTGGCATCAGGAACCTTTACTTTATTCACACTCCACCCCTCCAGGATTCTTGCCTCTGAATCTATGTGCCCTCAATCCTCTGCAATGGTCCCTGTATGAGAAAGCTGGAGCACTGTAACCAAATTCCATAATAACATAATACAACATACAAATAACAAAAATTATGACAAATTATAGTAACCCCCAAGCCTGAGGAGATCCATTGCCACCAAGTAGTCATCCTGGCTGCAATCAAAACAGTTCTACTCAAATGAGTTAACCAAAAGAACCGTAGGTAGGCCTTACAATATCCACCTCCTCCAGCCTCTCCAGCAGAAAGTCTTGCAGACACACAGGCCTATCCCATTACTTTACCTCTGCCTTCTGCTTCATTCTCAGCAGCTGGAACCACTGCTCTGGTCCCAATTGCTGCCACAGCTCCAGCCATCTAATTTCTTTCCATCTGCTCCTGCCTTTTCAAACCAGCCCACATCTGGGTCCTTGTGACCCCCATAGGGCCCTTTAAATTCTTCCTTCAAGAAGCAGACCGTATTTCCTTTTGTGCTTGAGCTTGAGGGCAGAAGCAGAGCATGGAGTGCTCCACAACCTGAGGAAGGGGCTGCACCACTCCTAAAAGAACCTGCAGTTGCTGAGTCCTTCTGGCTTTCCACCAGCTTTCAACCAGGTGGGGTCTCAACCGAGGAGGAGCCGATGCCACCAGCATGGGCAGGGCCTCCAACACCACCTGTTCATCAAACCTCTGCTCCTCCATTTCTGGGGCTGATGGCACCACTACATCTTTCTCTTGCCACATGGCATCTGGCAATCTGCATGCTGCTTCTTCTCATGCCACTCCTTCTTGGGTCGCTGCTCCTTCTCGTGCACTACACTTCTGGGGGAGGTTGTAACCGCATTTTGATTAGGTATTAAGCCCTGGTTTGGTGACAGAAGTGACTCCATTTTGGGCCTATGATTTCTTTTTCAACACTATAAAAATTTAGTTGGAGAGAGATTCTCAAGACGGCAGCATGAGTAGGGTGGCAGAAATCTCTCCCTAAACCATATATATTTTGAAAATACAACAAATAAAACTATTCCTAAAAGAGTGACCAGAAGATACAGTACACCAGCCAGGCTACATCTACATGTGTGAGAACTCAACATCTCATGAAAAGGGTAAGATACAAAGCAGTGACCCAGCGGGACCCCAGCACTCCCCCTACCCCAGCTCACCGGCAGGAGGAAAAGAATCAGAGTGGGGAGGGGTGGAAGCACAGGACTGCTAAATAACCACCTTGGTGATGTGCACCAGGAACACAGACACACACTGCACACTGTACTAGATATTAGAGGAATGGAAAAGCAAAATCTGAGACTAAGACTGCAAACAGGTTCTCACAGCCATTGCCCTGGGACAAAAAAAAGTGGGCACTTTAAAAGTCTTAAAGGGATAAGAGTTTAACAGGTGGACAAAATAATCCTGGCACACTCAGCCCAGCATGCCAGGAACATTAACGAACTTCAGGTGCCCTAACCTCCTGGGTGGCAACGCAGCACTAAAGCCCCTCATGGCAATAAGCAGTCTGTTGTTCATTCCTCTCTGGTACTGTAAGTGAACCGTCAGACATGCCATTGCTACAGAGCAAGTGGGGAGCAGCCCCACCCAAAGCAACCACACAGAGGCTTCCCCTAGTGTGTGGCTAACCAGGCCAGACCCAGAGGCTGCCCCCTGCCCACATGACACCGACAGAGACAACAGAGACCGGCACAGAGTCTGGAAGGCACAAAGGGACTTTATTCTCATGGCGAACACGTGCTGCTCGCCTGCAACCCCCACCAGTGCCACTGGCCATCCTGAGGGCCACCCTGCCAATGGCAGCTCAGGGTATTAACCCAGAGGCTGTGCCCTGCACACGGCCAACCAGCACGGGCAGAGGAAGCCAGAGTGGAGTCTGGAAAGCACATAGGGGCTCTGTTCTCGTGGTGAACAGATGCTGCTCTTCTGCAACCACTGCCAGTGCCCTAGGCCATCCCGAGGGACGCCCTGTCCCCCTACACCCAGCTGCCAGCACAGGCAGAGGAAACCAGCATGGAGTCCAAGAAACACATAGGGGCTCTGTTCTCACAATGAACATGTGCTACTCACCTGCAACCACTGCCAGTGCCCTAGGCTATCCCAAGGTCCACCCCACTCATGGCAGCTCAGGGGATCAACCCAGAGGCTGCTCCCTGTGTGCGGTTGCACAGGCAGCAGAGACTGGCACAGAGTCCTGAAAGCATGAAGGGGTGCTGTTCTCATGGGAGAAAACACACCAATCACCTGTGACCACTGTCACTGCCCTAGGCCACCAAGGGCCGCCAAGCCCACAGCAGCTCAGGGGATTAATCCAGAGGCTGTTCCCTATGTGTGGTTGTCCGGCACAGGCAGCTGAGGTGGGCAAGGTGATCAGCAAACAGGAGACTTTGTTCTCCCAGCTGACACATTCACCACTCGCCGGCAATCACTTCCATCACCACGAAGAGGCAGAAGAATGTTGTTCAGTCCAAAATCCCTCAAATACCAGAGAGAGGGCCTGGTGAGACCAAAATTACCAACCTTCCTGAAAAAGAATTCAAACTAAAGGTCATAAGCATGCTGATGGAGCTACAGAGAAATATTCAAGAGCTAAGGGATGAATTCCAGAGAGAGATAACAGAAATGAAACAAACAATGGAACACTTTAAGAGCAGACTGGATGAGGTGCAAGAGACTGTTAATGGAATAGAAATCAGAGAACAGGAATACAGAGAAGCTGAGGCAGACAGAGATAAAAGGATTTCTAGGAATGAAAGAATATTAAGACACCTGTGTTACCAATCCAAATGGAACAATATTCACATTATATGGTTACCAGGAGAAGAAGAGAGAGAAAAAGGGATAGAAAGTGTCTTTCAAGAAATAATTGCTGAAAACTTCTCCAAGCTAGGGAAGGAAATAGTCTCTCAGACCATGGAAGTCCACAGATCTCCCAACACAAGGGACCTGAGGAGGACAACACCAAGACATATAATAATTAAAAAGGCAAAGGTCAAAGACAAGGACAGAGTATTAAAAGTAGCCAGAGAGAGAAAAAAAGATCACCTACAAAGGAAAACCCATCAGGCTATCATCAGACTTCTCAGCAGAAACCTTACAGGCCAGAAGGGAGAGGCATGATACATTCAATGCAATGAAAAAGAAGGGCCTTGAACCAAGAATACTGAATCCAGCATGATTATCATTTAAATTAGAAGGAGAGATTAAACAATTCCCAGATAAGCAAAAGTTGAGGGAATTTATCTCCCACAAACCATTTCTACAATGTATTTTAAAGGGACTGCTCTAGATAGAAGTATGCCTAAGGCTAAATAGCTGTCAGCACAGAAAATAAAACCACAGCAAAAAAAGTACACTAACCAAATACTAACTAAAGGCAAAATAAAATCAACTATCCACAAAATCAGTCAAGGGAAAAACAAAAAAGTACACAATAAAACACCTAACATATAAAGAGAGGAGGTGGAAGAAAAGGAAGGGCAAGAAATATTTATCAGACCGTGTTTATAATAGTGTAATAAGTGAGTTAAGTTAGATGGTTAGATAGTAACGAAGCTCCCTTGAATCTCTGGTAACCAAGAATACAAAGTTTGCAATGGCAATAAGTACATATCTATCTATAATCACACTAAATGTAAATGGCATGAATGCACCAATCAAAAGACACAAAGTAATAGAATGGATAAAAAAGGAAGACCCATCTATATGCTGCCTACAAGAGACTCACCTCAAACACAAAGAAATACACAGACTAAAAGTGAAGGGAAGGAAAAAGATATTTCATGCAAACAATAGGGAGAGAAAAGCAGGAGTTGCAGTACGTGTATCATACAAAATAGACTTCAAAACAAAGAAAGTCACAAGAGACAGGACATTAAATAATGATAAAG